CCACTGTGCTGGGTGAGACGTTGTTGAAACAAAAACTGTTATGCATTCCATCACATACATAAACAGTGTCGTAATTCGCCAAGTGCAAATCAGCAAATTCGTAAAATTTTTGTTTATTTTGAACAATCCGGATAATCGAAAATCCGGATAATAGAGGTCCGGATAATCGAGGTTCTACTGTATATATAAAAATATCAATGCATGAAGAAGGTATATTCAATCAAATAATAAAGATTAAAAAGTAATTAAAGCAGAAGTTTGACTTAATCAACTATTATTTATAAAAAAAAATAATTAAATGTAAAAACCCTAGAAAAAAATATCAATTCACATCATATTCAAATGGTGCAAAATGACAGGAAGAGGTATGAGTGGACTCATCAATAGAACATTTGGAATCAATTCATTTATAAATTCAAATAATCTAGTTTTAAATGCAGATGACAATAGAAATATTTTAAATGATTTGGTTAACTTTGTCAATTAACATGCATAATATCAATTAGAGCTAACTGAAATAATCTAAGATCAATCAAACAGTGGCAAATTACTCAATAAGTGCACTAAGCATGTGGCCTAGGGCCTCATGCTTAGTGAGTGAAATTATAAAAATAATAATAATAATAATAAGCCTCTAAAAATTTGTATAATTAATACAAAAAAAAGTATTTAAATTGTTCAAGCAAAATTAATTTCAACTTATATAGAAGCATTTTTTTTATTTTCTAAAAATTTAGTAAATGTTAATCTTTTCATTGTTTATGGCTTTTGTTGTCTTTTTAATATTAAAAAACACTTTACATAAAGGGTTTTTTTAACAAAATTGTATGTAGTGCCTTTAGAAGAACATAATCTGCTACTGCAATCGAAATCATTTAATATATAATGTTAAGTTATTTTAATTGCTTTTAAGTAACTTTATATATAATTTGATCATAGTTTTATCTACAAAAATAAATAATTCCAAAATAAAAAATTCCAAATAATTCCAAAACAATTTGAAAACATTCCCCCCCTCTCTCTCAGAAAAACCTCCAATGTGTTTTAATGAGAACAAAAACAACTTAATTATTTAAAGATTTGCAGAATTCTCTTAAATTTCCATTGTAAGATACTGAAAAATTAAGAATGTATTTATATGCTTGATACAATGCTATTAGACATCTGTATTATTGAATACATAAAAAGTTTGAAAATTAGTGATTTATATAAAATTTATATAACCGACAAAGTATGATAAACTTTTTCAATAATATATAATAACAACAACATTTTGACATATAAATTGTATATTTTCTTTCATCCATATAAATATATTTTTCTTGAATTTCAACCATAAATTTTACTGAAATTATAAAATTATCAAAGTTTTCTTTATATGAGTAAAATTTGATTCTTTATGGAAAAAATTATTTTCAAAAATTAATTGATCATAAAATATAATGCACAATTATTTAGGAAAACTACTTGTTACATAGCAAAATTTAATATCCATTTTTCAATGGCTGAATCCAGATTTTTGATGTCCAAATTTTCAATGTTTCACTGTATTAGTTTTCCAATTTTTTAAAATTTATCCTAAGTAATGTGTTTGGAAAAATTAATGTATAGATAAATATAGTATAATCTCTCAAAATATAAATATACATTATGATTAGTATATTTTGATAAACAAAACATTTTATAAATTATTTATGTAATTAGAAATTATTATTATTTTTATATTTGAACTAACCTGTTAATATACTTAATTTTATTTCTGTTTCATCACCATCCATCAATAAGCATAAATTAACAAGAGATCTACTGAACAATGCCAAAATATTTGCTTGATTTAAAGCTCTGTTGAAAACATTGAAATAAATAAATCAAATGTAAATTATTTTTTAGTTTTTACATTATATTATGTATAAACTGTATACAGTATTCATATCACTAAATATTGAAATAATTCTATATGCCAGTGGTGGCCAACCTGTGGACCACTGATTAGCCACACAAAAAGTTTGGTAGTCCATGGAGAAATTTGGGCATTAATCAACTCAAGGTTACACGAAGCATTACAAAAGAAATGCAAAATTCTTGGCTGCTTTTTCTCACTCACTGGGTTTTTTTATTCAAATCTAAAATTAAGCACAAAATGACTGTTATCAATAAATAATAATCTACAATAAATAACGTTATGAGTGCAACTGTCATCCTTCATGGAAAAGAGCCAAGAATCCATAAATTTATTTTAAACAAGCAACAACAAACTTCACACTAATTTTTATAATTAACAAAGTAAATGTCATATTAATAAAATAAAAAAAAGTAAAATAAAACTTTTACAATCATTATTCTATAGATGTTAGTATCATGAAATAAAATTCACAATAGTAATCTTCAGGATTCAAAATTGTGAGTTTATTTGACCCATGTTCATGAGGTCAGAAAGATTGGCAATTACTGCTATTTGCTATATAAAATACAAATGAATGAAAGAATACAATTGTAATTTCATTCTTAATTTTATTATTATTAAAACTGAAGCAATTAAACAAAATATTACATATAATTCTAACATTGCTTTGAATCATATCTTGAGTTTGTTTTCATGAATAGAGAATATTTTGCATGTTAAAATACAGTACAATCTTGGTGATCTGACAAATATTGGGCTGGAACAGTGTCAGATTAAGGAGATTATCAGATTAGTGGAAGTAAGGTGAATTCAATGGCACATAAATGAATGTGACATTGCAGAATAATTATTAATAATGCAGAAAAACACAAGATGGATTACTAATAAAACATCAAGGCACCTTGACTTTACTGATTAATTAAAGAGTGTTGCTAAGTTGGCAGATTCCCACTAAATTTAGTGGGAAGTACAGTATTTTTGGTGTAAAATTTCAGGAGACAGATTTTTACTGTATATTGTACAATTGTGTTATAAGATATTACGCCTTTGTTTTATTTTAAAATATTATTACTGCTGCAAAACCATTTTAGACGAAACTGTGTTGTAGAAGTTCCATGTTACATGTTAAATTTTTAGTTTGAAATACTGTATTTTAATATCCAACTTATCATCATCTATAAATCTATGTTAAAATGCAATTTTTCTACAAGCAAACAATAATAATGGTTAATGGTTAATGGTAAGTGCAGATACCCATGTATAGCAATGCAACACATGGGCAATCTGCTAAGGGAGGAGTACCTCCCAGGAGGTCTTTCTATGGAAAACTGATCTCTATTTAGGAGTTAGACATGTGAAAAAACTCAGAAAACTCCACATGGCCAACCCATATGTTGATAATATAACAATTTTTTGTTTTGTTTTAAAATTATTTCTGAATAAATTTCAACAATATTATTATTATATTTTAATCATTAAAAAATATATAAAATATTAAATAATGACTTACTGTATTAAAAATGCTTCTATTGTTATTATTCCCTTCCTTTGTAGCCTCCAAATTAGCTCTAAAGAAAATATTTCCTATAATAAAAAATGTCACGTAATGTAAAGTTACAATTTAAAACTAAATAAAATAAAGTAATTATTTCCTATACAGAAGTTAATGATCTTAAATGATCAGAAAAACTTCTCTAACACAAAGCTCCAAGGAACACAAAGAAAACTGAGTTACAGACAATTTGAGTTAGAGAACAATAGAGTAAAAAATGCCAATTCTTAACAGATTTGTATTTTTCCCTCCCTTGCATTATATAAAGAATCTTTGATAGTTTTTTTGCTTTAAACAGCCCATGTATTGCCTTTCAGTAAAACGTTCAATGTAATTAATGTAATAAAACTGTTTTGCAGGTACATCTTGTTGAGATAAAGCAAGATGTCATCTCACTTTGGACTGGAATTTCATCCGCAAATCAATGTTGAACAATAGACAAAGCTAACTGTCTGAAAATTTCTTGGAAATTCAATAATTAGGATCACTTTGAATAGAATAAATATTAAAATATGAGTCAGGAAAGTTGAAAATAATGTAAATCACTGTCAAGGGACAATGAAAACCTTTGACTTGGAGAAAATTTGAGTTAAGAAATTCAAATTGGAGACATTAAATCCCTATGCTATTCCATTGAAATCTATTAAGTGATTCGTTTTCTTCAAATTAAAGAAATATTCAAGTTACAGACATTTTAGTTAGAGAAGTTTTACTGTATTTGTATTTACATTCAAAAGGACAGGTTAATTTCTGCTAAATCCAACTATTTATGGTCTTCATGGTATTCTGAGGAATATTTATTCTTACATAAGCACTTCAGATCTAGGTATTTACATGCCTATAGGTATGTATGTAAAAAAAAAGTAAGAATAAGGATTTCTCAGGATTTCAAGGAGGCTATATGTAGTTAACTTAATTTAAATTAAATTTCTATTTAAGCATATATAAAATAATTATATTTAAACATAAAAAAAATAATACTTACAATAGTATTAAGAAATTTACAAAATTGAAATTGCATAAGATTATCAGAAGTTTTATTTTTTAAAATATATATAATATCTTCAACTTTTTTCTGGAAAAATAGGTAGGATCAAAACTTAAAAAATTTTTGTTTTACTTAAAATTAATGAAACCCTTACTCACTCTTATCTCTGAAGTAAGAAAGATTGAATTATTAGTTGTTTTGTTTGAACAAATGCAATTATGCAATTCACTAAAACAAACTTCAATGAGAGAGCTACTTTTTACTGCAAAAAAATAATTTTAATCATAATACAGTACAGAAAATATTTTAATTAATAAATTATTGACAATTTTTCATCATTTGAAAACTGAAATGCTTATTATTGTGATTACATTATATTATTGTTTCTTTATAAACAGTAAAATTGATTCTATGAAATGGAAAATAAATGCTGAAGATTGCAAATATGATCCAGTTAGATCAATATTAACCTAATTACATTATTTAGCCAATAGCATAATTGGTATCATTAGACATTGTTTTCACTTAATCTCACAGTTTCCAAGAACCTATTGACAATGTTAAGTGGAGACTTACTGTATTATAAGAATAAACTTTTAAAATTATAAATTATTGAGTTTGCCAATGAGTAATTAATAATTTGTTATTCAAAAATATAAGAATAAAAACTCAATGCATAAAGTCTTTGCATCTTGGTCAGTCTTGACAGTGTGCAACAACACTACCTAATATTAGGGGTCATTAACAAAAAATGCCAGTAAAATTATAATTAAAATGAAAAATGTATTGAGTAAATTTGAGATAATCTTGAGCTCTGGCATGAGTTTTTGTATCAGTTCATTATTTGAAGAAAAGGAATGATTCCACCAAATAATAATAGTTTTATGATTGTTTTAGTACTTTTCTTCCTTTCTTTCCAATGAACTTCACATATGTTTGTGCAATGTGGCAGCTGTGTAAAAATTCAAACACTCATAACATCTGATAAGTATATCTTTTGAAAAATGTTTCAGATAAAAGTTTGTTTCTTTTTGATGTAGAAAATATGCAATAAAAAAATTGAGATTCCCATTTAAGAAAATGAAGTTGACTCCATTTTCACCAACTGTAAATCATCAAAATAAAAATAAAAATATTTTAAAAAATGAAAAAAACATTCTACTTTTTCATTAATAAAAAATGATGCATAATTTAAATTAATGAAATTGTACAAAAATTAGTTTATAATGTAATTAAAACAAATGAATCTTACCAATTAAATCAGATGAACTAAATGGTAAAATACTTTCTTTTTGCAACTATATTAAAATAAAAATAATAATTTTTTTATATCTGAAAAATCATAATAAATTTTTAAATTTCAATAATGAAATACCGTAGAATCAAGTTTGTGAAAAAATATGGAATTTAATTTTTCACACTTTAAAATAATTCATCAAACTGATTAAATCTCGACACCGTACTGTAAGATATGAAATTTTAAATAGCTCTTTCAGGTAGCCAAATCTTTAGTCATATATAAGAAACATTTTTAGCTTGTTTTGTGCCAGCTTCAGCATAAGTAAAATACTTCTAAAATAAAATGGAATATAGATTCTGAATTTTATAGAATTGAACAACATTAAAAATTACATTTCATTTCAAGTATTTTTTCTTTAAAACGTAAAATGTAAATGCAAGCACTTTTGACAATGTATTATCGTCTTCATCAGATAAGAAATTTTTTTTTCTTTCTTTCTTTTGAAATGTTCTATATGAGTGAAAATTGAACTAAAAACATTTCTTACACATAATTAACTATTTATTTTAAAATAATTGTTTAAGTAATTGCAAAATTCTGGATGAATATGATTAACTGTAAAAGTATTTTATTTTTTGTTATTTTGTTTATCCCTCTAAGATTTTATTTTCATACTAGATCATTAATTTTCACTTTAAAACTAAAAAATTGACCTTAGGAATAAAATAATAATAATCCTGTGGTTAAATAAAAGTTTGATTATTAAAAAAATATTCATGCAATTATATTCTTATAACTAGAATATCAAAGTATTTTGAGTTAAGCATAAATAAGATTTAAACTAACCAAAATATATAGAAATTGTGTGTAAGAAAAATTAAAATTTATAAGTTAATTTATAAATAAAATGAACTTCATAATAATAATGTAATAAATGAAATACAATAAAATATACTCATATATATACACTGGTGGACAAAACTTAAGGACGAAGAAGAAATAGGCATGTATATGAAAAACTACATGTGGTTGTAGACCAAGAAAAAAACATTAGTATTGACAGCATGTTCAACATGATTTAATATAATAATTATGTTCAAAGGAAATATGCAAAATGTCAAAAGAGGGTATTTTTGTAAAAGGTGCATATTGTCTGAAGACATGGTTGTACAAAAAATGCACAATACTTACCACAAACAATCCTGAGTGTCATGTCAGTATAGGATATGGCCACCGTGACATGCAATGCAACTTTGTACACAGCATGGCATACTTAGAACAACATGATCCAGGAGCTGTTGAGGCAAGTTGTCCCATTCCTGTTTCACTGCATGGATGAGGGACTCCTTGCTTGTCCGTGGATACTGACCACTAGCAATATGTCTCCCCAAGGCATTCCATACATTTTCAATCATATTCAGGTCAGGAGAATGGGCTGGCCAGACTATACGATGAATATCCTCGCTGCCAAGATACTTCTCTACAAATCGTTCTAGACTGCATACTGTAATATTAAAACACTTACTCACACAGCTTTTCTTGCAGCCAAAGTTTATAAGAGAAACTTTCTAACGTTTTCGGTCTTGTTAAAAGACCTTTCTCAAGAAAATAAATCAAATACAACAACAAAATTGTAAATCGAACGCTTAGTACAGTTAACACGTTTTTCGAATCTTTTCGAACTAGCCTTATAATCCGTTGCAAATGACGTCATTGTGAACGTAGCAACAGAAATATAAAATATATAACTTAGCCAGAAGTTATATATATAACTGAAGTATATATATAACTTAGCCAGAAAATACGGGATTAATATTAAAGCTATTATCAACAAGAGTAAAACGCGCCCTAAGAAGAGAAATTTACCTCCTAATGAAGGAGCTTTAACGATGGCTCCTAATGAAGGAGCTTTAACGATAATGCTTCGCTGATTAATATTTTTCGACGCATCGGAAAGGCCCAGAACAAAAGAATCCTATATAAAAGAACCCCCACCACGTACCAACTATTACGATCTGATAAGGATTTAGCGGACAGAAGAACACTCCCCAGAGTATATAAAATTCCAGTTACGGACTCAAGGCGACGTAGTAAATTAATGTATGTAGGGGCAACAGGAAGATGTATCAAAGACAGGTTAGCAGAACATCAAGCAAATATAAGAAAAAAACAACCATGCACTGTGCTAGCCACCTACGTTCTAGCGGACCAGCAAGACGTCAAAGTTGAATGGGACCAAGCAAGACTAATGCAGATAGTCCGCGACAAGAAACACCGGCATTACGCGGAAGCCTGGCAGATTTGTAAGGGAAAGCATAAAGTCCTTGCAGTCAACTTTCGGGAATCGACAAAAATATCGGCAGCATGGTCCTCTAGTTTAATATAAACTTAATAATTGAGGGAACTAGTTACTATGTATCTTAGGCTACGTATTTTTAAATGATGTAGGGAGAGGGTAAATATGTGTATTTATATCTAGATATTTATGTAATCTTTTTATATTTCTGTTGCTACGTTCACAATGACGTCATTTGCAACGGATTATAAGGCTAGTTCGAAAAGATTCGAAAAACGTGTTAACTGTACTAAGCGTTCAATTTACAATTTTGTTGTTGTATTTGATTTATTTTCTTGAGAAAGGTCTTTTAACAAGACCGAAAACGTTAGAAAGTTTCTCTTATAAACTTTGGCTGCAAGAAAAGGTGTGTGAGTAAGTGTTTTAATACTTCTCTACAGCTTGTGTGCGATGACATGGTGCGTTATCATCCATAAAATGAAACATTTCACTGACAGCACCTCGGAAAAATTGAACACATAAGAGAAGAACTTCGTCAATGTACCGTTGGCCAGTCATGGTCCCTCGGTCAATCACATATGGGTATGGCTATTGACCATGATATCTGCCCACACCATGATACTACAAGTCAGATATTGATCCCTTTCTTGAATATTTTTGAGATGATAAAAACTCCTAACCTCACGCCATATCAATTGCCATCTAGAATCAGACGATAGACTGAATCTACTCTCATCTGAGAAAAGCATGGTAGCCCAGCTGTCATTTGTCCAAATGCAATGCAGACTGCACCATTGCAAATGGGTGCTTTGGTGAACTTTTAAGAGTGGGACACACACAACACGTCTTTGGGCGTATAGTCCTTTGTTTTGCAAACGTCTTGCAACAGTTTTATGGGATATCTTAGTTCCTGTGGCCGCCTGTAAATGACTTGCCAGTTCACAAGCTGCACTGCGTTGGTTCCTTTTTGCTGAAAGAACAATATACTTTTCTTCTTGGGGTGTCGTACTGCTAGGAAAACCTTCCCCATTGCACCTGCTGCATATTCCGCTAGTTTGAAATGCTGCCTATAGTCTAGAAACAATACTGTGCGCAATGTTAAATACATGTGCAACATCTGTTATATTCTGCCCTTCTTCCAGCTTTCCGATTATTCTTCCACAAATAAAATCATCTAAATGATGTCTGGAAGATATGTCCAGAATTTTATTATTGTAATTTCACTCCTTCCTGTTCAAATTTCACATCCAATGAAAACTGAATGCATGTGCAGATTGCCTGAAATCTCATATCTGTGCTGTCATGTGACCAACATGTGCAAAACTCAAACATTTTTATAAGTTTTACATAACAGTATATAAGTTTTACATCACAATTTCAAGCATATTTCAACTGACTGTAATTGTTCAATTTCTAACTGTAATTGTTGAAAATAGCATTTGTGTTTATGTTTTGTCCATCAGTGTGTATATATATATATTAATATATTGAAATATTTA